AACCTTTGTCTGTGCAATGGCCATCTTGGATTTTGATGTGGCCACGCAATTTTTGATAGACCATTTTTACGCCAAAATAGAAGTTGCTTATTTTTCAAATTCTCTAGCTCACAAGACAGACTTTTATGGAGTCAGCCATCTTAGATTTGGACATGGCAACCTAATTTTTGAAAAGAACCTAGATGTAGCCACACACCTAGATGGAAGTCGGTACCTCCCTTATTTTTCAAGTTATCATGCTCACAGCATGCACAGACAAAGGTTTTTCCAATTCCACCTCTTCACTACGCAACGGGACAATAAAACATTTTGCATGCTTTTCTTGAACGTTTGTACTGTTTTCAATAAGATCTTAGCTTTTCTCATGTCTCTTAAAACTCTAGATGTTTGAGTGCTACATTCTGCTTTAGATATATTAGCAGTGAAGGGTAAGTTTCTTTTAAATTTTCAGCCATATTGTCAAGGGACTGACAGTCTTCTGTATTTTTGGGTTCATCTTGGGTGGAGCTTTGTTTCAGTTGTTCAAATGATGGATTCTTAGGGGATTTCTTGCAGCACTCAGAGGTGGAGCTGATGTGCAGGTGACGAAAGCTCCAACCAGTTGCTTTACCTCAAAGATCTTTTCATTTTTCTTCATCTTTCTGCTTCGTGTCAGTAGAACTGAGGCTTTCAAACAACACCCTCTGATTGAACACACATGAAACTCCTATTTGCCTGGTAGACACTTTTTTACAAAGGCTGCAGTCAGCCCCACCATAAACTTAGTCAATTCTTCATTCAGCACCCAACTCCTGCTGCTCACTGCTTGTCCTTTCTTGCATATTCCTCCGTTCTGACCTAAATTTTTCAAGCCCTCAGAGAGCGAGGGCTGAAACATGATATAAATGTAAGGCCAAGCGCATATGGGAGTGATCAGGGGTGCATTTCTTTGGTCAGAGCAATTCATGTAGCTTGCCCTTAACTGGCAGCCAAAACCATAATGGCGCTCTGCCCAAAAGTCACTGTTTGGATAACCGTGTGTATGTGTGTATTCATCTGCTAGTGTGTATGCATACATCCCCTTCAGCTTAAATGTGTATGGATGTATTCCAGTCTTAATTTCTCTCCCATGCATGCATATGCTTGGGTATGCATGAATTAAAGCTTTCCTGGCAGCATCTTTTGTGCTCAAATGACAACTGTGGTACCAAAGACAGGAACTGTTATCCGTTTTTGCTTGTCCAGTGGTTTTATTTAGTGATATGAATTTATTGTGTGAGAATGAACAGACCAAAGACCACTAATGTTTTCAAAATTGTAAACCTAATTTCGATTTACTATGTATCCATAATGTTTAATGGCCTCAAAATCCCTACAGTATTTTCATAACCTATTTTAGCAGAATCTGTTTAACTGTGTTTCTTATGAAACCGTGCAGAACTTCTACAGATCCCTGTCGGCTGTCTGTCTGTCTTATTGCATTCCCTACTCTGGCTTTGAATAGACAGATTTGCATGCTTAGTTCTCCCACCTTTGGCTAAGGAAGGGCCTGGTATGTCCAAGTGTCAGCTCTCATAACTCTGCAGCAATTGTTGTACAACATGTGAAAAAAAAACAATCTTTTTTTTTTGTTGTTTTCACTTTCACTTCATAAATCTGAGTGAATGTGTAATATATGATGCAAACAAAATCTAGATCTACACTTGTTTTCTTGCAGCCATCGTAACAGCTTAGATCATTGGTGTCCAACTTTTTGACATGTTGGCCAAAACTGTCAAGCTGAAAGTGCCCATGAGGACATTTAAATTAGAATTTTAGCTTTTAGCATAATTTTTGGGGTCCTTTACATTATGAAACTGCAAAAAAATAAAATCTAAAAAGGAAGCATTCAAGGTTCAAGACTCTTTAATATCATTCGCATCACATGTGGTACATGAGGTGGAACAAAATTGTGAACACAGGGTCCCAGTTACATCCAATATTAGCAAAAACATGGTTAAATAAAGACAAAAATAAATATTAGAGCACATTTTAAGACTTTTTCATATTGAATTTTGTGTTTAAAATTTAAAAATTACTAGTTTGATAGTTAGGTTTTGTAGAAGAGTTGGAAGGAGTTGTCAGTAGAAGACAACAATCAAAGATTAATTTCTATGAGTGAGTCAAGCTAACATTTACTCAGAGTAGGGCTCATTTTAGGAGCTAATTTACACTGAATGTATTTTAAACTCATTTTCTAGTTGTTAATTCAAATGTTTTTTTTACAGCAATTCAGCATGAGACAATTATTTCATTTCTTTAATGTTAGCTTTTTTTCATCTAACAATGTATTTGAAAACACAAATTTGATTAGCTCAGTCTGCTTGGGTGTTGTTTTTAATATATAAATTATATTAAAAAGAAAGATTCATACAAAATTTATCCCCAGAAAAAATAACAGTCTGACTTTGTAAGCACTTGATTTTACTGTCTGGACTGGTAAGCTGAAAAGCATGTCACAGCTAATAAACCATGAGAGCGTGTAATTACACATGGGAACTCAGACATGTGTTGGTTGAGAAAATTGTAACAAATTAGATCAACTGTTCCATGTAAAAAGGGACTGATTGTAACAATAGTCATAATGTCCTTTATCTTTTGGCTGAAATTTGTTCTTGAGTGAGCCCTATTCTTAACGGTGGTTAGTTTGACCCCTCACATGAAAAGTTCTCCCTGGTCATCTTACAGTAGGTAAAACTCTGACTAATTTATCAACTCCACTTCCACTATTAGAATAATTTAACCAAATCTTCTTTTATATAAGCTAATGTTCAATTCATACCTGCATGATTTCAGCCCTCATAGTTTTTCAGTGGACAAACATGCATAGAAAAATGCATATTTTTCTCCAAGTGTCTTCTTGTTCATCTTTTCCTTTGTCCCCTCCTCTTGCTGTTGATCTGTATCCCAGGAGCTGCTGCCTCTCGTGCTGTCCTTCGAGCTTCCAGCCATCATGCAGGCTGACCCCAGCTCGCCCACTGTGCAGCACATCTCACAGACGTACAACCTGGCGGTTTCCTTCAAGCCCCCGACACGCCTCTACAGAGCCACAGGTGTTGTTCGAGGCTCGCAGAATAACGCCAATGCAGTAAAGGTGAGGAGATACGGAAAACCGGTGAAAGCACCGGAGCATAATTTGTCTGGTTTGTTTTAAAAAAGAGCTCAGTCTTGCTTTGGTTTAACTAGTGAATTCCAATTGGTGTATTAAGTTATTTCTAAGATTCTTTTATTGATTGCTCTAATACATTCTGTTTTAGTTTCATTTTCCTTTAATGTGTGGTCAAATAAAAGAGGCATTGTGGGTCATAAAAGTATTGTACTAATTATTGAGCTGGTCACTTCAATTTAAATTGCAGTCCGTTTATTAGACAAGCCACAGACCAACAAAGGGCAATATAAATGAAGGTTTAGCAGTATTCTTTTTATTATTATTATTAAACTTTTTCCCCTATTTAAACTGTTTTTCATGTTCAGCACCACTCTTTTAACTTTTGTAACGGCAAGTTCAGCAAGTTTCTGTGGACTTAAACTTTTATCCTAAATTAGTATCAGAGGTTTTTGCCTCTCTAGCTTGTATATGGTAATAATCAGAGTGTGTACTCCATAATGTATACACAGAGATGCATTTCCTTGGCCGGCTACTGAGCTGTGGTTAGTTAAACCATGATAAACAGTCTATCATCATCATAATAATCATCTGAGGGTAACTTTTTCTCATAAGCATTCTTCAGTTAACAAAATGGAACTTGTTTCCTTTTGTCAGCCAATAAAGTTGGACTTTGTGTAAAGTGTATCACTTCAGTGCATCAGTGTTTCTGTGTGCAAGCATATGCAGCAGTGTTGGCTCTGACTTTGTGGTGGGTCTTAAAGGTCGGCCATGACTGGGAAGCATGCCAGACGAAAAGTAAAGGATCACAAGAATTAAGTGTTATGTTGTTTGGTGGTCTGAGACCCTTGGAACACCTTCCTGGATTGCCAAAACCACTTTGGATTGTTGTCTTTTGTTGGCTAAACCGTGTGGATTCCTTTTTAACACTGGGAATGACTTGTTTTACAAGGTTAGGAGATGGCTTGCAGAGGCATGTAGGAATGAGACTTTTCAAATGTCTTGCACGCATGAAGTGGAACATTTAATAGTTTTATTTTGCTAGTTGGAGAATAATGGACTTTGGGAACCTTGGGTTTTGTTTTGTTTCACTGCTCAGCTTAGTTTTCTGAGTTAATAGTTTCAATTGAGGCCTGAATATTGTGAAAGTATTTTAGCTTTATTTGTAGTTTTACAAAACTAATAACTCAATTTACATTTATTCGCAGCAGGGTTTAAAAGTAAAATTTCTTTGGTTATTAATTATAATAAAGCATATGTAAGTTTTTTTTTTAATCCAGTCCACTTGCATATGTGGAGAATATCTTAAAGGTGCTTCTTGTAAATTTCTTTTTTCTTTTTTTTTTTTTAGTTTTTACCCTTAATTTTTATTTTTAAGTTTAAGACTTTTTTTTG